AAGATGGTGTAATTGACGAAGGGCGACGTATACCCGCCACCCGAAGGACCGGTTGCGAGCTCAAATTTTGCATGCAAATTTGGTCCTGTCGTCGTCTACGATCACGCAACACATACACGGCTTAGGTAGAGGTGTATTATCTGTACTCGATGTTTACTTAAGAAGTAAAATGCACTAAAATAGTGCCGTTTTACCGCAGTAACTGACCTCACAAGTTGGGGGGTTGCTCGTGGCTTCCTATACTTCTACGCCGGACAGTGTCCCCCTTCTCACAATACGTGACAAGAGACAGTTTTACGGAGACCTTATCGGCACTTTCCAGCCGACGATACATAAGTGCGCTTCGCGGCAGACGGCACAGCTGAAGCGTGACCTGATCGATGAAACCTACCAGGAACGAAAAGTCCGGGACATCGAAATAGTGTACTCGAAGTAGCGTGTCAGATTTCGTCACTCGCGTAGCATGTTCGGAAAGGCTTGTACCGTCACATCGCCTGGTTGACGGGAGGAGAGAGAGAAGGGAGGTGGACCCGAGGCTTACGTAATCACTCATTCGCGCGATAACCTTTACCCGGCTTCCACATTGGTTTTCCCGATAAGCGTAAGCAAATCTGGGAGCCGGCTAGCCCGTGAATCACGTAGGTGTGTTTACCTAAGTCTCACCCCCCCCCCCCTTCCCTCCTTCTCTCCCCGTAAACCAAGGTGATTGTCCATGAGAACGCGCCAATTAAGTACCGAAACTGGCCCGTTTTCTAGCTTCACAACTTGTTTTTTTAACGTTTTTTGGTATGTTTTTTTAAAGATATCAAGACAGAGAGTATACCAACACCAAGGACTGTCGGTATAGGAATCCAGGGTTCACGCTCATTACGTGACGCGCGAGCACGACAAGTTAAGGCAAGTTCGCACACTTGCGTTTGCTCTGGACCGAGCTCTTGTGACCTCTTACGACCACAGAACATATAGTGGCACGCTGGCGCCATCCATGACGTGGCCCCGGGAACAGCATTTGACTTAGAACGAAGGTTTTGCGATATATGCAAGATGAAATGTAAGTACAGTGTATAACAAATGGACGTTTATAGCATCGTAAAAAGTTTTCCAAAGCAACAGGAAAAAAAAAAGAAAAAGAAAGAAGAATAATGTGCGATAAAACGGTTACCTATAAATGGCACCCGTGCGTTCTTTCGCCGGATTTTAAGAGGTTTTAATGCAAACGGTCGTGAGCAATCGCAAGCGTGTGTACCGGCCTTTAGTGTTCGCGGAGGGCGTGCGTGTTTTCTGACTTGTCGTTGACAATGAAGAAGCGAGGTAACATCCCGAAACGCGGCGGCACAAGCAAGATTGCGCTATATAGCTTTCAACCAAACAATGCCTTGCCCGGAAGGCTTACTTTCTTCTTCTTCTTCTTTTTTTTTTTTTTTTACATCCGCTTTTATGTAATTATGTATTTAAATGCGGATAGTATCAATCGAGGGCACTAGGCATGAATTTAGAATGGGATCGTTGAACCGCGTGCAAACGGACCGTGTAGAGATTGCTCCCAAAACGTAATTTGGACTTGGATCGGCGATTGGGTTCCGGTTTCCGGAGGCCAGCGGCGAGGCTATTCCCGCGGGGCCTCTCGCGTAGTGTACAAATATACACCGGCGGTCCAATGGTTCTCGAGGACAGCGAACGCTTCGTAACGGGTGAATTTGTAACGGTTCGTTATACAGTCGGGAAGCGGTTTACAAAAGACTGTTGTACATTGCACGTTGAGACAATCGGCACGAAACAAGATAAGCTGACAGGAGAGTTAGTTGGGCAACATAACGAGAAACTCATACCACGGAAGCAGACAGTCGACACGAATAGAAAAAGGACAGCCGCACAGAGAAACAGTGTGTACGTCCTTGCTTCTATAAGCGTCTCGTTAGAGACGGTGTGTGTGTGTGTGTGTGTGTACGTGTTCTTTGTGTGTCATTTTTGTGCTTCGAGTTAGTTTAAGATTTTCCCTATGCTCGATGCCACTAGCAAAGGCAGGAATCAAGGAACGAGCAGACAGGCATGATATGAATCGCCGGTCATTGCACGCATCTCCTTCAAAGGCAGACAATAAAGTTGACTAAAACTTCGTTGTCTGGTTTTAAAAGAAGATGCCTGCATTCTAAAAAAGAAAGAAAAAATTCTGGAGCGTCCATGTTTCCATCAAGCCGCTTACAGATCTCGCTAATCGCTACGAATTCGCCGAACGGATTGCCGCAATTGGCTCTCCAAACTGCTTTACGGGAAAATAACGCTCCAGATTTCCCAAGCAGCGGCCACGCTGCTTGGGAAATCTGGAGCGTTATCATTCAAAGAAGAGACTGCAGAAAATGCCAAAAGGTATTATTTCATCCTTGTATAACGGTCCTGCCAGATTGATCAAGCAAGGACTTTCTGAAGACATGTTCCAGGCATACACATTTGTGCGAAGCAAACCTGCTGAACCAGTCATGAACCAACTGGCCCGCTTCGCCACCTTTGTGCTTCTAAGACGCTTGACGCGTGTCCGCGAAAACTCCTGTTTTCGCGGACACCTTGCAGCGAACACCTTGTTTTTTTATAATTCCTAAGACCTTTGCAAAAAAGACCGTCCTCTGCGCGCTGCCATCTCCATCTGCTGGGTTGTGGAACGCCTTCTGACCATGCACTGTTGCTCTGCTGTCGGTACATCAGATACTGCGCATGCGTCCACAGCTCAGTGACTCAGCAGTTTTCGCCACGGTGATAAGCGATGCAAAGGTCTGTACGCGGGCGACTGCCAATAGGCAGAGGCAGAGGGAGAAACCATCGGAGGACAGCGCGGTGTGGGCCCTCTTCTTCTTGCACAATTGTCCCCGACCAGGGAGGGGAAGGGAGGGTTGCTCAGCTGACGGCCGTCGCCTTTCATGGTCGCGAAGCTTCGCGGTCGTGGGCGACGTCCGGGCAGGCATGCACAGCCACACGCAACCGCGCGCCGTTGTTCGACGCTCGTGAAACTATAAATAGACTCGTACGCGCACTCGCCGCATACATTATCCTTAAATTTAGTCACCCAACTGCTTTCCGGATCGTGAAGTGATTGTTCCCGTCCTACACTCTTAAAAGCTCATACGTGCTGTGCACTCGAACACTATAGGTCACTGGTGGCTTAATCGTTTAATGGCTTAATGGTTTAATGGTTGCAGGGCCAATGCCGCATTTTCATTGGCTGCCGAGCGGCCATAGCAGGCTCAAGTCGACTCGCCTCGACCCGCGTTTCGTAAACTGTCTAATAATCGGTGTTCGTTTAATAGGTTTAGCCGATTGGAAGGTTTCGAGACGTCTTTATTACGCGTGCCTTCTCACCGGCGAAGGCCCGTCCACTCGCTTTGTCACTTGGAATGCGTGGAGCTTTGAACATGGTGACGACCGTCCTTCTCATTTGCCTAACTGATCGAACGGAAACCAATGATCGGTGTTCCGAGCCAATCACTGTGTTCTGTAAGTTCAGAGACTTCGGAAAGACTTATGACCGCCGACAAGCAGCGTGCGGAACATTTGCCTCTTTTTCTCATGTCCACCGAAAACACAAATGAACTGAAATAAAAAAAAGACGGGTCTTTGCCCGCGCTAGACATCTTATTATCGCTCATCAGTCACTGAGATTGCGACCTTAGACGATAAGGATTCCGAATCATGAATGACGAAGTGTGAACGTATAGTAAGCCACGCCTGCCTTTCGTAAGTTGCCGATGACCATACATAGTTGTTTGCGACCGTATACAGATGGACGCGACCCTTTCTCGAAAGCGCATTACAAACCGCCTGGCGCCAGGCCATGCAGTAGTCCACGTTAATCCCTGAAACACATTACTGGATAACCGCTTAAAGACACCGTTGTCCGAACTTGCTTGACCGCGAGCGTGCGCCACGTAATCCTTCGAGTGCTGGAAACAATTACCTCAATGAGTCTCGTTCGGGCCTAATTTGGAACAAGTCCCATGAAGTGCGGATTTCGCTAACCGAACGTACACGTGCGTATTCATCAGAGCGCCACCTTGCTCCAGATAAATGGCCGCTGTTTCTTCTTCTTCTGAGAAGAGTGTCCCTGACACGCCATCTCAGTCCACAGGCTTTGGCACCGCGTAAGAACATAACGGTTCGAGGAACAACCTGCTCCATCTCCACCTAACGTGGCGTCAAGGCCTCGTTGGCGAGATCACGCTGCGAAAATGTGTTCTCAATTGCAATACGACCGTAACGGTGTCTGTTCATGTTGTACTGATCGTTACAAAGGTGCTCTCTATTAACAAAATGTTTACACTAAAAATATATGAAGAAAAAAAAACCGCCATACTTATGAAAACCGCAACATATTCTGTTTTACAGGTTTCGCACCTTATATTACGGTCTTTGCTAAAAGCCTTAGCTTTTCTTCTATTCTTTTTTTTTTTTTTCTCTTTTTCACGGGCAACTTGGAACGGAACTTCAACGCGCAAAAAGCACCGTCAAAGGCAACGTCCTCGCGTGCTCTTTGTGCCACCGGGCGCGAAATACCTTTCAGACTGTTCATTCCTGACACGCCGCACCGATTTATATGAGATAATTGTCTTCCTTTCGTATTTTTGGCTGCCAATGAGTTTGTGCTCCCGTATCATCACAAACAACCTAAGAAACACCGGGTGTGACGAGCATCCTATATTCTCTCCGCAAATCAGAGTTTACCACTAGCCGACAAGAACGCCTATAAGAACCAATCTCGACGCAAGAAACATTACCATGACACGCCAATCTCCGCGTTTTTTAAACTCTCTATATAGACTATAGAGCAAATCTAGTCTGTTGGTCCTTCGGGACGACGCCGTCCGAAAATGGCGACGGCGGGAAGAAAGGGGGAGAGGTGCTACGCATGCGCAAAGGCTTACTGGGAAAGGTTCATTGACTCGAAGGTCATCCCGCTGTCACGATTGATCGAGCTCTTTTTCGTAATCACTCCCTTTCCCTCTCGATCGCAGACAGCGGCACATATGGAACATCACTGAACCTAGCCTCTTCTCGAACGGCGTGGCCATGCGGCCAGGACAGCCGTCGTGGTTCCTGGGCGCCATGGGCAAGACTAAGGTCATCTCCAAGAACATCTCGGCCCTCGCGCTCATCACGGAGGACGCCAGTCGCAACCTGGCCAAGCAGCTCAACCTGGGCCCGCGGGACATCACCTTCGGCCTGACCAAGCTGGACATCCGCGGCACCCTCGCGCAAGACCTGTGCCCCTACAAGAAGGGCCCAGAGGCGCCGCCGTGCAGGCCGCAGCGCTTCAGGGCGTACGACGGTTACTGTAACAATCTTCAGAACCCGTACTGGGGTAGCGCGAACCTTCGCTATCTCCGGTTCCTGCCACCCAACTATGGCGATGGTGAGTACGTACTTCCCTTCTGTAATCGTCTGGTCACTTTTCTTGTAGTTACAATTCATGTGAATGAAGTACGTAGAAGGGCAATGCAAGTAGCACCAGCGATTTATGTTAACTGCGGTGCCCAATTATTCTTTCAGCACTTGTCGTTCGGCTTTTTGCCGCCTTAAAAACTCGAAAAACAAACTTCTTTTGTCTCCTTTTTTTTTCTTTTTTTTGCGAGCATTTTGGAAACAAGCAAAAACCGAACAGACGAAACTGCACTATAAGTACTGGTTGTTAAATACCAACGTGAACTATTGCACGACTATACGTAAAAGTAATACCACAACGCGAAGCAATAAACAAGCACTTCTACTCTTGAAACTTTTCTAATCGATTTCATCGCGAGAAACCCGAGTATTTTAATGTCACAGTAGGCAGCAGGGAGAAAACCTCCCTGCTGCCTAACGCGACAAATTTCGCTTTTTCAATAAAAATTGTGATTTGCCATTATTGCGGATGAATGTGTTCTCTCTATAGCTTTCGAGAATTAAAAAAAAAAAAAAAAAAAACTGCCACTATACAGCATACAAAACTTAACAAAAAAAAAAAAAAAAAAAAAAAAAAAAAACGGAACTCTTGCTGAGAACTTGAAGGAAAGAACCAAACATGGCAGTGGCGTCACAGATGTTTGTCTTTATTACCGTATTTTCCGGGCTATTGTCCGCGGGCTATACATGTTTAAAATTTTAAATTTCTGGCTAAGCGAACTGTACAGGACTTTTGTTTTTGAGTATCGTTGATTATGACGAGACGAGACGGATTATGCGAATGGAAGAGTATGTTAATGATGATTTACGTATATTATGGGTTTCTTTGTGAGCTAAGAAAGCAGGCATTTTTCAGGGTGTGCCGTCTATGAGAAGATTTTCGTGTCGACTAAGCACCGGGTGTGGATAATGCACTGAGTGCGGACAATGCACCGGGTGCGGACTGTCTAAGTCAAGAATTTTATTTTTGACCCTAAATTTGCACCTGCGCACTATACACCAGGTGCGGACTATATATACGATAACACCCGATCAGTTTTATATAGGATACATGTACATCGTAGTTTTGTGAGTGTTAGCAAGTTGGCTGTGCCGAAGCGTCAAATATTCCCCGAGAGTGTGCGTTTATCACGTCCGCGAGAAGTTAATTGGACGACTGTTTACCTGTTGGCACAATGCAGAGTGATTTACCTGGACTTTAAGTAGGACTTCGCCTAGCTTATGACTCCCGAACACAATCCACCTATTTTAGGCTTTACCACAGAAAACAAGACGCCAACTGTGCTGCTCTTGATTGGAGTTCTAATCGTAGCAAATCATACCCGCGCTACCGCGCATCCTTCTCCCGATGTAGGCTAATGGACGTCCGCACGCGACTGCTGGTCTTCGAAGCGTGCGCAGATGCCCGAGGGAACACTCTCACGCGAGCGAGCCTCTTCGGCGGTCTTCAGCCAACTCGCGGCCTAAACATAAACACGGCGAGAAGGACAGGGCCACCGGCCCACACCGGAAGACGTCCTCACGGGAACCGGGTCGTGCCAAAGACAACAGCCGTCGGCCGACAACAAAAAAACAGGCCGACGAGGCGAGCCGAACAAGACCCCAAGAAACAAACAAGAACACCACCAGCAGCCGCAGATGAATTTTGAAACTAGCTCCGCGCAAAGAGATGGGGAAGAAGGCAGGAGACAGTCTTTGACGGACAAGCCTCGATTGTCTTCTCGGAGAGTTCGGTTGCTCTCCAAGAAGAAGACGAGCTGCCCGAAAAATATTTGCCGCCCTCTCGAAAAACAAAGGAACTGTCGGCAGCGACAATGGGGGGGGGGGGGGAACCCGCCCTCTTCTTTTGTCTTTCCCAACATTTCCGCTTGCGATCGTTGTTTTTGTTTTATTGTATATTAGTTGATGTCTCGTTGACGCTTTCTTTCCGTCTACTTCCACTCTCTCCGTGGCACGGTTTTAAAGTTTTAAGAACAACAAAAGAGACGCGGACGGCAACGGCGTGAAGACGCGTTGTTGGTCAAGATGCCGGTCTTTGAAAACGGCGCCTCTGCTCTTCTTTTTTGTCTTAGCGTCCGGTCGTGACAAAAGGCGCCCACGCACGCGGCGTGCCCGAACAAACCCAGCCGCCAAAAGACAAAAAAACAAAAAGCTCGTCGAAACGCGTTGTGGAAGTGCCGTCCTCGCTTTCAAACGTCTCAGCCAAGGCGATAGGGAAGGTCAGGATTGTTCGAAGTCCTTCGCCGAGAACCGCCGGCGTGAACGTGTCTGCACGTTAGTCTCGAGGGCGAATCAATCGCGCCGTCTGCTATTTCCTCTCTTTACGATTGGACAAGAGCCTCGCTCTGACGACTACAATGCTGTCTTGACCAATCGCGGTGGTGCGAATGATTGTCTGCTTCACACAGAAAGAAAAGGGTATATTTTTACACCCTTCGTCACATATAATACACCCCAAAACTCCAGTTCGACGTATAGCGCACTGATGTTGAACCGACGGTATACACTCCGTGCGGGAACTATAGGGGGCGCTTTGAAAAACGCGCGCAGCGCCGCTAGCGGAGGAGCTGGCGTTCGACAGTGAGGCGCGTTCAGCAGCCTGCGGCGCTTTTTCGCATGCCAAGCTGTGGCGCCGGGAGCGCGCACGGACGAAATATTTGCTTTTTGAGCCGATACGTTGAGGGTGACGTTGCATAAGTGCTGGGGCAGACCTAAGAAGGGCGTCTAGCTGCTCTCCGCTTCTTATATATTGAGTTTGAGTCGTTATTAGGGGTAATTTCTCTAGTTGCGGCCGAAAAAGGAGTTGGAGCAACTTTTCGAAAAGCAAGACGGCCGCCACCATAATTGCTCTGGGTGGGAAATTAATTTCGCTCGTCGCTGTAAACGTAGGACTGTTGAAACGATGATATTGGAGGCGAGTGAGATGTTCACTAAGTTTGTGCACCAAGTGTGCCAAGTTTCACGAAGACAGCAGGTGTGAAAGTTATGTTTCTAACGAATAAGGAAATAAAGCTGTACGGGATATCCAATATTGGACCCGAATGTTGTGTTATAGCGGGCTTGCAAAGTGAAGATTTGGGCACACAGGTGCTTGGACTTGACAGCAACATGACACAGCACTTATTATACAAAAAAAGGTGGCATAGGGAAACCAGGTGAAAATTTGGTTTGGGCGGCGTAACTCAATGGGAACCGGTTTTGACCATGAAAGGCTGTCAAGAGAATACCACTGGTCGGGGGAGGTAGAGACTTTAGAGGTAGAAGGGACTAGTGGACTGTACTTCCGATTGAAACAACTTTACGAAAGGTGGTTCCAAAGCCGAGAAAACAAAGTTGTCGGCCAACACACGGTTTGGCCACCAAGGGCTTTTGTGGTCAGCTGTTGTGTAATAACCTGTTGTGCGAGGTGTCGATTTTCGGCGCACTGGTACTTTGACATGACCGTAACTTGGCACAACACTTATTATAACAAAAAGAGTTGGCATAGCGAAGCCAGGTGAATATTTTGGGCGGCGTAACTAAATGGGAATTGGCTTTGACCGACAGAGGGTGTCACATAATACCACTTATCGTGGGAGGTGCACACTTTACAGGTAGGAAGGGACCAGTGGACGGTACTTCCAGTTCGAACCACTTTGCGATAGGTGGCCCTAAAGCCGAGAAAAAAAAAATTGTCGTCTACAGAACTTGGGGTGTCAGCGTTTCCACATCCAAAAGGAGGCTGATCAAGAAAGAAAGCACACCACATAAACTTCCATACTCAAACGTCGAGCCTCCAGTGATTCCGAGTTTCATTGTTGTTTTCTTTAGATTTAGATTTGTCACTTTTTTTACCGTTCGAATCTTTCTTCATGAAGTACAGATTGCGTGCCATACTTGTCCGGAAATATCATCGGCACGTACGATGTGGACGAAACTTCTTTGGAGGGCATTCCTCCAACGAAATTGGCACTGCATACCCGTGAGTGTGGGATGGCATTTCAGTTCGTCCCATCCCCGCTGACAAATGTAGGCGTTACTGGTACGAAAACAAACGGAAAGCGCAGAGTGGCAGTGTAGAATATGTCAGCCGTGCCGACACAGTGGCAGACATGATCGGGAGACCAAATTTAACGCGTCGTGCGGCACGGCTCCATCGTTGTAGCTGTCCCACAAAACATCGGCGAGGTGAAAAACTGTGAAACGTTGTCCCCACGAGATACGACGCATAACTATTGACGCAGCACAGGCAGCACTTCTCATGCTGTGAACCCAGCGCAACCGCACCGCTCCGACTTCAATGCGTACCAACGTACGCGGCGTGGTTTCGGTTTCGTTTTCTCTGGGACTCTCACTGCCTACCTTCGGTACCGGCCGCGCGGCGGCGCGCCAGTCGCGTCGCACGGAGTGTATAGCAACTTTCACGATCGGCTTGATAGCCGAGGGTACAACTTATTAAAATAGTTAATGTACGTGTAACGAACTGCAGGAAAAGTAAAAGATTTTTTTTGCCCTATTGCAAAACTTTAATGTTTCTTTTCTGTAGTCTTTGATACGCAGTTACTGTTTAATATGGTATATCCCACTGTCATCAAGCGTCTCGTAAAAGTTGGGGCTGTCAGTTAAACGCCGGTGAGCTGTACGTCGGACTGAAATTTTGGGGTGTCTTATATGTGACGAGGGATGTCATGGCTACACATTTCTTTTTATAGTGTTGATATTTAATAGGTTCATTGATGTGATTATCATTGAGCGCGTGATCAGGTCGGTCTTTCTCAGAGTTGATGTACGAGTTTACATTCTTGAGTGTAAGCTAGAACAAGTAGAACTCCATAAAGATTTTCGTGTCGAAATTGGAGCTTGTAGGGCCTTGTTTTGTAACTAATTTACATATATCATCAACCTGTACTGGACTAAAACAAATGCTGCGTCATCTTGCCACAAAGCCAACTAATATTGACTACATTTACGTCACGACCCGGCGAATGAAAAGATCGAAAGATCGCTTCGGTCTAAAAACCAAACGTGCGATAGACAATAAAAAAAGTAAATCGTGCGATATGAGTCTCAGAATAAAAAAAAAAAATGCGTAAGATCCACACTGACGCATCACAGTTGCCACCCTTCACTTTCTGCGAACATTTTTGTTTTCTCGTTCGCGTCGTGCTTAGGACGCTTTGAGCAAAGGTAGTACACGCGCGGGCGGTTTTTAGGATGTGTAGCCTTCCTTCCTACCTTGGGCACTGTCCATCGCAGGAGCGATATGTAACCGTGTATATTTTATCCCTAAGCAAAAAAAAAAATTAATAATGTTTGTGTGTCTCCTTTTTGCTCAGGCATCAGTCAGGCAAGGCAAGATGGCCGCGGCCGTGCACTGCCCAGCGCGCGGACCGTGAGCGCATCCATGTTCCAGGACCAAGACCGGCCGCACGACCACGCGTCTATGATGACCGTCGCTTGGGGGCGCTTCGTCTTTCACGACATCTCGCACACTGCGCAGGCCGCAGGTGAGTGGCACCTGCACAGCTTTACGGCGCGCGTTTTACCGAGGCGAAGAATGTCAGTGGGCTGCGGATGCAAGCCCGGCGTCTGATATTCAGCCTATATGACGTAGGTGTCAATACACGCGTATATACAGTGTGGGATAGCGCGTATATAAAAGCTTTATATGCGTTGTATTACATGCGCTGAGGAATTGAGGGAGAGGAGGAGACGAGAGGGACGTCAGAACGCCGAGCTCTGATTTGACCGATTACTTTCCATTACTTTCCATTGTACAGCTCCGCTGGTCTTCTTTCTTCACCAGAGTGGAAAGGCTGAAAGTTTTATAAAAAGGCTCATATATTGTATTTTCTTTGTATTGCTTGAAGTGTTACATTACCACATCTAAGTACATACATTTCTCATCTTGCTAAAACGCGTTTACTCCCATGGTTCGACACCGCAGGCCCTTTTTCTTAGTGAGTTTTTATCACTACGCACCGCAGGGTTCGAGGGTGCACGCCTCAAGTGTTGCGGCGTAGCCGAGGGCTTCTCCCACCCGGAGTGCATGCCCATCGCCGTGCCCGATCGCGATCAGTACTACGGACGCTTCGGACAGCGATGCCTGGAGTACGTCCGCTCAAGCGCTGCCCCCCGAGAGACGTGTGGACTTGGACCACGGGAGCAGAACAATCAGGTACGCTGACATTTTCTCGCAGCGATCAGTTATTCATAGACGATCTATCGTATCAAAAGTGCCATTCACCATGTCGGTCTTTATATAGCCGAAAGTCGCATTGTCATCAAACCCTAAGATGATCGAAGCAGAAGACCCTCTGGCGACACCAGTATTTATTTTAATGACTATTCATTTATTTTACAAAGCTGGAAGCCACATCGGGCAGCCTCACAAGTGTGTAATTCAGTTCAATAACCGTAGCTACACCAAGCTAAGATTGTAAGGCCGATAGAATGCCATCAAAGAACTGCGGTGACAAAGAACAGCGCTCTTGAAATAGCGTTGTAATGAACAATCTTGACAAGAAAGCCTGCCATCTAACGGTAACGGTCATTCTTGTAAAAATACAGCCTAATCCCAAAGCCGTAATCACACTGCCCCTATATTTAGCGGCACACATCCTACACCCCCAGGTGACCTCGTTCCTGGACGGATCGACCATCTACGGCTCTTCGGAAGCCGAAGCCAGGTTCCTACGCGCCTTCGAGGGCGGCCAGCTGCTCAGCCAACGGACCAACGACGGTGAAGAACTGCCCCCTCCGGACATCACGACCTTGGACTGCCGACGTACCGCCCAGGAGCCTCCCTGCTTCTCCAGCGGCGATCCTCGAGTCAACTCCGACCTGGGACTGGGTCTGATGCACACCGTCTGGCTCCGGGAACACAACCGCGTCGCCAGAAGCCTGCAGACTTCCAACCCGCAATGGGACGACGAGAGGACCTTCCAGGAGACCCGGCGCATCATTGGCGCTCAGATGCAGTACATCACGTACAACGAGTTCCTGCCGGCGTTGCTCGGACCGGAAGTGGTGGAACGGTTCGGGCTCCGCCTGGAGAACCAGGGTTACTTCCGGGGCTACGACCCCAAGAGGCTTCCGGGAGTCACGAATGTCATGGCGGCCGTCGGTGTGTGGGCCCTGGTGTCTGCGGCTCCGGCTCAGGTGGAGCTCTTCGACCCGGCGAGGTTCAGGAGACTCGGAAGCCTGCCTGAGACGGCGTTCAGACCGTTGGAGCTCTATTCGAGGCTGCAGCAGATCGCAGCGGGAGCCCTCATGCAGCACGCGCAGAAAATGGACAACTTCATGTCCCGCCATGTCACGGGAGACATGTTCGCTGCGTCCAACAGAGGTATGTTCAACATCCTATTGTCTTGTCTCAAAAATACCATTCCAATAATAGCATTTCTGCGCGCTGCCATCTTTGTCTACTGGGCTGTGGAACGGATTCTGATCATGCGCAGTATCCATACCCTGCTAAATATCAGACGTCACGCAATCGTCCTCAGCCCAGTGACTCGACATTTTTCGACTGAGTGATGAGCGCTGGAAAGGTGTGCAAGCTCGAGTTCTTTCTATAGTCTGTTACAGGTTAAGAATATACAAAAACAAACTACCCCCACAAAGCGCTCCACTCTTGCCGCTTTAGCAGAGCGAATGCTGGAGAGGAAACGAGTGGAGAGAAGGAGCCTACCTATCTATGGTATACATAGATACTAATGCTAGAAGAATTCTGTACGTCAATCCCTTAGTTTGTTTCGGTTTTTCGTTTCATTTACCACGTCCTAACAGACGTTCTTCTTCTCCTTCATTCACTAAATATAATTCGCGCACATTACAAAAACACTGCCGTACTTTGTCGCCCTGACCAGAAACTCTGAGACTGCACTTCTTCCACCAACCTTTTTTTATATGGACTGTTTACACACGCACGCTCCGAGTCATCATAACTTATTGGAGGAATAAAAACAACATATAAAATTTGAAAAAAAAAAATCTACCTCTTTCTCATCATGGCTATCGCACGCACTTTTCAAGCAGCAGGTGCAGCTTAGACATCCGTGTAACCCCTGAGGCAGTAATACCCAAGAAAATAGTTGAAGAAAAGAAAATCCCAATAGGACACAGACACGCATGGTAGGATGCGTTTCTTTCCAGCGACGGCGCGGCGGTAGAACGCCCGGTACACATTTGATTCCGCACGACGTTAAGGGGAGAAACCGTCTATGGGGGTTAAGGGGTCAGGGGCTCCAACGGCGTGTAAAAACTGCCGATTCCCAGCGCGTGTACAACCGGAATTTGTCTCTCCGTAAAACGATTCATAATGCAACAGCGAGGCATGGCCATATAAACTCCCTCGCCTATATCTATCTCATCCCTCTTTGCCACAAACACTGCGTTCTCCCGCGGGCGCACTGACCTTGGTTGTAGCTTCGGGCTACTCAATGAAAGACGTCTTCAGACAAAGCCAACGTCGATTTCTTCACCGCGCACCCCAACATAACGAGGATAAGACCACAATCGTTGAATCGTTAGTTCAATCTAGCTTAGCCACGGCAGCAGAGTCGCTATGGTACCCAGGTTTACACCAGGGTTGCGATATAGTCGAACGAGAACCGTGTGTGCTGCCAAGCGCTCGTGTTATCACAAGGTGTTCGCGCCGTTGTGACGCAAGCCGATGAAATGAGAATGAAATGAGTCGTTGGAATCTATCCGTATGAAGGACTTTCGCGGTAACAACGATCCATCTTGCTGGCGGTGACAGAGGATGAAAGCTACCACGTTCATGTTACGCGAGTGATGCAATAGAGTCAATGGACCGTTCGTCCGATGGTGCGCAGGAATTGGACTCCAACGGCACCCATGTAGAGCAGTGTTGAGAGTGAATTCTAGATCACTGTGTACGCGTACGACGTATGAAAAATTGCTGAAAAACACTTTTTAGTCTTAATTATCAGATTAACATGCAGAGAAAAAAAATGGCAGAGGCCTTTATTTTTTAGTTAGGAGCGCTGGTTATACTAGCGCTTTTAACTGTCATTAAGCCAACGACAGTTGACTTAATCGCGATCGGCCGGAGTTACATGGTGGCACTAACTGTCATTGAGCCGCTAACGATCATTAAGTTCAACTGAGCTGGCTACCTCAGTTAAACTCTATATCACCTTATGATGTACCGCAGGAAAGGCTACAAGCGCAAGCTCCTTGCTCTAGGGCACATCTCGGCGGCACAAGCTTTCGTGCATTGAGGGCAGCTGCCAACACTATGAGCTCGCGCCTCTAGCCTTTGCTGCGGTGCAGCAAAAGGTGAAACGGAGTATAATTGATGAGGGTGCACCCAATAAAGCTAAAGATGGCGGCGTCCGTGCATCGGCGCCCATGGCCAGTGCCAGCGAAGCTCTTATATTGCGGAAGAATTTGGAAGGTATCTAGAAAGTATCATAGCGGCAAATATTGTCGGAAAGGGTATGATTCAGGACCAGAGCTGCCGCTAGAACTATCACGGCATGTCGCGGAAGCCAGAGCTCGGCGAGGGCGGCCATCGTAATCTCGGTGCCGATAAAACTTTTGTTGTGTCTCTCTTGCTTGAATTCGTGTGAAGCGTTTTGATTCTCGTTTCTTTACTCTGAAAAACAAAAATGAAGTTAATTTGATTTTGTTTTAAGCGTTTATAATGAATGGAAAGTGTGCATCTAATTCATTTCCGTCGCTATCCATAAAAAGAAAGATAATGTGACATCAGTTTTGCTTTCATTTCGGTTTCAGCTGTGTCCCTTGAAGCGCATCTCAACTGGGTTTGCTAGGCCTATGTACCGTGCAACACCGGACAACTTAGTTGAGCTCAATGAAAGTTGGGAGATGTCAACGATCCTTAGCTTGACGACAGTGGAGAGCGCTAGAGTAACTAGGGTATTATAACTTACAAATAATGTTTTGCTTTTAAACAGAAGGAGCAGGAGAAAACTTTATTTAAAAAAGGCCCCAAGTCTGGGGCCAGATTCTGTTTTAAACGGGAGCTCTGTCACGTCAAGGTGAAACGCAACATTGAGATTACAAACCGTCACTTAGAAGCGAGGTGGCAAAGAGATTTGTCGGATACAGATAGATTTGTTTATAGCGAGTGTTTCTACTACACAAGATTCGAATGCCGGGAACACAAACCGAATCGCAAAAGAGAAAGACTGTGGCAGTATCACAAAAGATACAAGCACCACGCACAAAAAAAAAAAAAGAGAAAACAATGGCACGATCACAGTCAACGCGACGTCACTAAACTTAATTAAATGAATTCTCGTGATAAAATTCCCTGCCGGAATCGAAGTGCTTGAAACCGTCTTCGAGTCGTACACCTGAAATTCCCACAAACGAATGATTAGAACAGCGCTCTTCTACGTCCATGCCCAAACATTGCTTTGTTTTAAACCTCCACTTTAATGCAATTATTACAAATTGTTTCTACAACGTAATTATTCCCAGTTATACGTACAAGCGCTCACACGTGTTTCCATACACCTTACGCAGAGGCCGGCGTAGACCTGGCTGCCGTGGCAATTCAGCAGGGCAGAGACCATGGTATCACAGGCTACACTCGCTGGCGGCAATTCTGCGGTCTCCGGGCCATCGACGACTTCGAGGGCCTCAAGCGAGTCATGAGTTCAGATGCGGCCTTCCGACTCAGCCAGCTGTACTCCGCCGTGGACGACATCGATCTTCTGGCGGGCGCACTCTCTGAGACACCAGTAGAAGGCGGTCTTGTTGGTCCAACCCTTGCCTGCATCTACGCTCATCAGTTCAGGCATCTCCGAGTCTCGGATCGCTACTGGTTCGAGAACCCGGGCCAACCGTCCAGCTTCACAGAGGACCAGCTCCGCGAGCTCCGCAAGACATCTCTGGCACGTGTCCTCTGCGACAACGTCTTCTTGAGGACCGGAGGAGGTGTTGTCCAACCGCGGACAATGCGAGTTCCGGATCCCTGGCTTAACAATTTGATGTCTTGTGAAGACCGACTCCTAGCCAGTATGGACCTCGATGCTTGGCAGGATGCATCTAGAGCTGGTAGCGTCCCGCAGTCTCTGCTTCAAGACGCACTCGCGGATCTGACGGCCTCCCAAGGGGGGCAGTTTGGAAGACAAGGTGCTCGAGGTGGATTTATGAGGGCCACCGCTGGATCGAGGAGCATCCACAACCAGTCGGAAGCCCTCGAATTTGCCACGAGGAGACTACTCAAAGCCACGCGCAAGGGGGATAAGCGGCAGGATGTGATTCCCGCGCTTCGTCAGGTTGACCTCTCCAAGTTTGCCGCTGAGTTTGAAGAGCCCGCGGCCTGCGAAGATGAACCGCTCAAACCTTGCAACCCGAGATCGCCCTTCAGGTCACTTTCCGGAAGATGCAACAACCTGCGCAAACCGAACCTCGGCAAAGTCGGACATAGCTTCAGGAGAGTCCTACCGGGCTTGTATGAAGACGGCGTGTCGGCTCCCCGATCTCGGAGTGTTACGGGTTCGCCATTGCCCAGTCCCCGGCTCGTCTCTTTCGCTGTTCACGGCGACCTGAGCCACCCGCATCAGCGATACACAATGATGCTCATGCAGCTCGGACAGTTCATCGACCACGACATCGCCCACACACCACTCAGCGAGGGCGCCGACGGCGCGACACTCCGGTGCCGCGCTTGCAACTCTCCAGAACGAGTGAACAAGGAATGCTTCCCGATCCCGATCCCGTCCAACGACCCCCACTTCCCGAGTGTCAGCCGAAAGAATCCGAACATTCCGCAATGCCTTCCATTCACGCGCTCCATGTCAGGTCAGCGCACTCTGGGCAGCCGTGAGCAGATCAACCAGGTGACAGGATACCTAGACCTCTCCACTGTGTACGGCTCCGACGAGTGTGCGCGCGACGAACTGAGGCTGTTCAGGAGCGGGCTTCTGAACATGAGTGCACATCCGGCTGGCCGAGAGTTCAAGCCGCTGCTGTCCGAAGTGGACGGTGCTGCCGACTGCATTTCTTCTAACGGCCGCTGCTTCATCGCGGGCGACACGAGGGTCAGCGAGCAGCCTGGCCTCACATCCATGCACACCATCTTCGCCAGGGAGCACAACAGGATCGCCCGCACGCTCCAAAGTCTAAACCCGCATTGGGACGACGAGCGCGTGTTCCAGGAAGCGCGTAAAATTGTTGGAGCCATTTTCCAAAGGATTGTCTTCGCGGAGTTCCTTCCCCGTACGTTAGGCTGGGAGTCCGTGAGTCAGTGGGGCTTGCATCTCCTCGAAGAAGGCTACTACAACGGTTATGACCCCACCTGCGACGTGGGCTCCTTCAACGAATTCGCCACGGCAGCGTTCCGCTTTGGGCATACGCTGCTGCCGCCAGTACTCAAGCTCGTCGGTCCGGCGTACGACGAGTTAGGAGGCCTGAAGCTTACCGATGCCTTCTTCAACAGCCAGACGCTGTACAGAAAAGACAGACTCGACCAGCTACTGCGAGGTCTCTTGTCGACGCCCATGGAGAATTTCGACAACCATGTTACCGAAATGGTGACCAAGCACCTCTTTGAAGCCAAGAGTGTTCCCTTCTCAGGTCTTGACTTAGTCGCCATTAACCTACAGCGAGGACGTGACCACGGTTTGAGGACGTACAATGATTATCGCGCCTTCTGCAGTCAGCCGAGGGCCCGTACCTTCGCGGACCTTGAGGGCCACATCCCGAGGGCCACGCTGAGGGCGATCGGGAGTGTCTACAGAGACGTGGAGGACATCGACGTCTTCACGGGTGGTCTCTCCGAGTTCCCGTTGGCCGGCGCCGTGGTGGGACCAACGTTCAGCTGTCTGCTCAGTTTTCAGTTCCAGAGGCTGAGGCGCTGCGACCGATTCTGGCACGAGACCGGGGACCCGACGGTTCGGTTCTCGTCCGACCAGTTGGCACAGCTGAGGAAAGCGTCTCTGGCCAAGATCATTTGTCAGAACTCGGACACTACAAGGTTCATCACGAGGAAAGTGCTCGACGTCTACGATCCTTTCTTGTAAGTTGCTACTTCTCTCTGGCTTTAACATTTTGCAAGACTCTCAAAACTGATGCTGATGTTAAACTTTAGCAAAGTATTGTAATAAGAGAGGTCCAGGATCCTTCCTTTGCAAGTGTCCGTTCTTGTCATTCGGTTTACATATTAGCCTAACGTTTTTCTGCGGCTTTCTCGACGTAAACTTCGCGAATTTCATTGTACTGTGTTTTCTTTTACAATTGCATTCAAAAAGCAAATTAGCCCCTTTTTAATTTAATTTCGGGCTCCTTATTTCCTGGAAGGTTATTGCAAGGCATGCCGTTGTCGAGGAAAATGTATTCACTCAACTCAATTGTCATTAGATCACCAAACAGAATTTTGAACATTTCATTTCAGAAATCCAAGGGTGTCCTGCAGCAGCATACAAGACATCGACCTGAACGCCTGGAAAGAAAACACGGTTTAGAAGAACGCACAGTGCAGTGAACAAAAAAACAACAACATGAAGATGAAAAACAAAAATGGTGGACAATCCAGCGACATCGAGAGACTCGGTCAAGGATCGTGCTGGCAATAACGTCATCCGCTCCCGCGCGCAGCCGCTGTCCGTCTCCTCGCACGGAATTAACCGTCACCGTACGCACCGCTGCGATTGGTGGGAGCCTACACCACGTGACGCTTACTTGCCAACTTCGCCGCTTAAGCGTTCCATAGTCATCCCCACCTTAAGAGCGATAGGGCACGGCTAATTACGTCGGCATTCGTCGTTTCCTGATTGCTTTCTGGGTGTTCATGCCGGGCGATGCTGCGATCTCATTGGCTGTCCTGCGAAAATAAGACGGCTAGGACTAACCACAGCCTATCATTCTTAAGCAGTAGTAAGTGACTACCAAGCAGCTGAGTCGTCGGCAAATAGCTTCTTAAGGCAGGTCATATACAAACAAAAAGATCGCCTGACTGATTTTTTTTTTTATTACCAAGGAGATGAGTAGTCGGCAAATAGCTTGTTGAGGTAGATGGTCTACAGCCAAAAAGATCGCCTGACTGGTTTTATTGATTGTTGCACGAAGCAGGCAGTTGAAAGGAACAGCAGGGATTCACTTTAGCGTGTTACGCAGAAAAATAAACACAGGGGCATTGCTGCAGTTTATCATTCATTCTTCGAACCCAATTTAGAATGGCGTGAGATCCATAAACCTCGGCAAACTGCCGCGCTTCTGTAACGATGGGAACCGAACGACAGGGAAAAGGGTGGTGAAATCGGTATAATCAATAAAAGTGAATAGCTACGCTTGTCGCTATGACCGTTCTAAAACTAAACCAGAAAGCAGCACCACAGAAGAGCTATATCCGTCGACGCTCCGATTTAGGGACCTTCAGGAACCATTCACCGCGATTCTGGAAGCAGCTCCTTGCAGAACGAACTGGCCACACGTGTTGAGCTGCGGGCTTCGCGATAAACCCTCACTCGCCCTCGTTCTCTTTTATATCGAAAAGCACAGAGAGGCCATAGCTACAGAAGGAAACAAGAAAACTGAAAATACCGTTCCTCGTCACGCGTCACCGCGGGGCGGTGCTCAGAAACCAGGAAACCCGGAAGGCCAGCAACCGAGCATCGCCAATCGATTCCGGGTCAGACGTTGGTACGCAGCTTCGATCGCTACCCACCGTCTTTCCACGACATGTAAACATTACTTAGCTTCTTTCTTTTTTTTTTTTTTTTTTGGTACGTGAGTCTTTCAGATGGGTCAGCATGGTTTGACGACATATTTAAAATCCTATCATTGCGTGGAGTACGATATGCCCACGCTCACTTCAGCCGACCTTTATGAAGACCCTTACTATAATCACTACACTTGCTTTGTGATTCGTTCCTCGGTGCTCTTATTGACTAGTACTTCAATGTCACTAGCAGAGAAGCGATGATAAGAGGGTCTAGACTCGCAACGCTCTGCGTTTCTTGAGCCCTCAGTGATGATAAAAGTCATTTGATGCAAACAACCTACGGACTGGTGAACGCCACCTGGATAAGAGAACGCAATGCCCGTGATAAAACGCCACCGGCTAGTCCTCGTGCAGACGCATCGATAGAAAAACATGGGGTTGAATACTGACTCACCATCCATGCTCAATCGGTGTACGACGTTTTGTGACGACATGCGTGATGCCGGTCTCAAGTGTTCCGTGCAGGAAGCAGAACTACGGGTTTCACGGTGACGAGCATTTCGACAACAATGCGCTATCCTGGCGAGTTTTCGCGTACCGTAAAACAGCTTCGTCGCTATGCAACTCTTGTGTACATCAGGCTCTAAAATTGTCTTGGACGATCGCCGCTGGGTACCGGCTTTTAGTTGGAGAATGTTGTTGGAGAAAGTTTTGGCCCAAATAAAAGGGCTCGGCCGTATCCGTCCATCCATTCATTCATGTTAGATGGAGGGCAGGTCGTCGCCGGATTCGAAGGTTCATCATTCATTCATTCATCCATTCTTTCATTCATTTATTCATCCATTGATCGTTCAACACGGTTCCCTGCCACCGCTTATACGCCTCCGTGACCGACAAAATTCCGTGCGAGAAAGACAGAAGCTAACGCGCAACCCACGGACAGCGCGCACGTTCGGTGGCCCGTCGCTTGCTCGCTCACAAGAAGGACAGCTTCGGCCGGCTGCAGACTTCCAAGCCACGTCATGCATCAGCCTCCGAAGAAGCGCCAGGTTTTACTGGCACCCCCCCCCCCCCCCCCCCCCCCATCCCTTCTCCTTCCATCGCCTTTGTAAATAAACACGTCTACAACTTGATCATCTGCAATCCTCGCCTTTTGCTTCAAACTGGCTTTACGGCCCTTGTCTATTAATAGCAGAATAAAAGCAGACGGAAAGAATATGAACCTCTATGTATGTACGGATGTGTATATTTGCAGCGCAATTTTATGGAAATGAACATCTATCCTCACCAAAATTTTAAAAAAAAACATAACTTTTTGTTATCTAAAATTTGGAACTGGAAATCTATCAAGATTCTATCTGGATATCAGGTTTTTCAGAAATTATTCCTTTGTCTGCAATCTGGATTTCAGGTTTCCATTAACAATTCCAGTTAGATTTCCAGTTCCATAATCCAGATAATGAAAACTTATACAGGTTTTTTTTTTTTTTTTTGCTTGAGATAGTACAAGATAAGTCTTGTACGCGCGGTATTAAAAAAAATAGGCGATTACAACTACAATTGCTTTATTGAAAAATGTAACATACAGTAATAATTGACTGCATCACAAAAGTAATTGAAAAACTACTTTTTACGTTAGTTTTTTTTTTTTAGTTTGTATTACGAAATCAAAAAGGCATACATATGTTCAATGTGGTTACATTTTGTTTCTTTTTGTCATTCACACCTTGTTAAGCTTCAACTCCAGTTGTCGTTCGAAGCCGTCGTACGCGCAAAACTGACGTCAGGTGTTTATCGCTCCGCGTTCGAACGCGTTCGACGAGTGCAGTGGCATATAGCTTCCTCTATACTCACAAAGCCTGGCTGTTGGAAAACGGAGCCATAGAGTGCCCGCGGTCGCAGATTTCGAGCGCGAGGATCTGGTAGCACAGAGCATCAAAGAGTCATTTCTTCGGGGAACCTGGACGTCAGCGCACAGCGTTTGCAGCGGCGAGGACCTGAAACACACTTGTTCGCAAAAAGTGTTTCGGCGTCTCGCCGCAGCGGGGCGTCAGTCACGTGGCTCTCCTCTCATTCGTTGTCTGCCGCTCCATCTTTTCCATTTCGGCGGCCACTTCTCGTGGCCATCTGCCAGGCTTTGTCATATTAGGAGGCTATAGATGGTTTAGGCGAATTCCGGCTTCGTGCTGATTCAAATTGAACATCATATACTAAAGAAAGAGATAATTAGATGCACGGGGACCCGCCACGGCCTGTGCTTTTTTTAAGCCGTTCGTGCCCCTAAGAATTTGAATTCACTCGATTTCGAGCGGGAATCGGCGCGGTTCGGCACTCGCCCGGCACTCGCAGAAGATCGATCAAGAACTTGCGTGACAGCTATAAACGGACCCCCGTTTCAACGATGCGTGGCGTGACTAACCTTTCCCCCTAATTCTTTCACGGAATCGTATTCCCGTTCGCGCCTCGACGGATCCATGGACTGCCTGTCGGACGCACATCTTTCGACTCCTTCCCTCCTTGATTTAGAAGATGTACCGCAGGCCACCCTTGGTAAAAAGTAATCCATTCAAAGTGCACTCATTTCGTATCTTCATGTACGGCGCTCTGACAACACCGTACGCTTCCATCTCATTCTTTTCCTAAGTTCCTCTCCGTATACTTTTTGTACGACCTTATTTGCCAGACTGGATCGACGCGCGGACCGCACCGCTAAAATACGAAGTACACTAAAAGTTTATTCAAAGTAAACGTCATATACTAAACATACGCTAACGATATACTGTAGCTAACAATATGGTAGGAGCAGGGCGACCAAAATAAAAAAAAAAATTCAAAAAAGAATCTTGAAACTTTGAAACAATATTTATGGCACCTCGCGTCTATAGTCTTGAAATGTATAGCCAGTATAAGTTCCAAACAAGACCATTATCGTTTTACACGACTGCGAAAATCAGTCGCACGTTCTATAGCTTCGAGTCACAAAAGGGCGCGAAAAACCATAGAGTCGATCGAGTTAACGAGGATATGAACAATTGCCAGGCATATTCGCTTCAGGTGTTCCCTGCCAATTTATGCAGCAGCTGCGCAGCGTTCTTCATCTCCCCGGAAAACTTCGTTGCTTGGAGGAAATTCGACGATGCCCACGTTGTCTGTCGAGTCTCGATGACGCCGCCAGCATGCGCTTCCAGGTGTCGAAAAACCCTCGGAGCTGTTCGGAGCTCTTAATCACCCGCGAGAGCATTCACGCTGACTTCGGATGCGCACGAACATAAATGAGCGAAACGTTTCATCTACTTTCGCTAAATACTACTTAAGGCTGGTTCAAACATCCGCACCGGTTGCGATCACAGGCAACCGAAACGACCATAACGACCAAAGCAACGCCAACGCAACAACTGTGACTCGTGGATCGCTTCGCGAAGCTACCCCTTGCATCGCTTGCCGTACTGTGTACGGCGAACACTTGTCCCGGTGACATTGCCGTTACGGTACCGACACAGATGTGTGAACCAACCCCCTATTAGAATAATTTTTGGACTTTTTATTGAAAACGCGTCGACTTCTTATTGACTCTGATTATTCTGATTACTTTCTTTTGACCTTGACTTCCTATTGACATGGTCAACAGAAAGTTTCAACACAAAAGAAATTTTGTGTTGAAACTTGTCCGATGATTTTCTTCAGCCTGAGTCAAAACAAAAGCTGTTGACTTTCTATTAACTTAATACGTTAACTTTCTTCTGTTGAATTCCTGTTGACAGTGTCACCAGAAAGTCTGCAAACGCTCTGTTTACCTTGTGTTTAAAATGTTCAGTTGACTCTGTCGTCAGTGTCAACAGAAAAGCTAGATACTTTCTGTTGACTTTTTATTGAACATTGTACATCTCGACTAGGCGTCAAACGTCACTTTCTCAATAGTCTCCGACAAGGTGAGAGTGGTAGGGAGGAGCTTCAGTTCTGTCGCCTCCAGCGTGAGCCTTCTACCCTTGACAACGCTTCGGCGTCTCGCGCACAGTCAAAGCATGACGGAAGGCATGGGGCGCGTGCTGGAGGCCAGGAGTTCAAAGACACGTCGTGCCGTTCTCACTTTGTAAGTTACTATGTGGTGACTTTATTGACTTTTTAAAACGCTAGTAACGAAAAGCAAAAGCAAAAGCATATTGAAGTGGAGAAACTGCCTTGACTCGCTTCGTCCTGAGTGGTGCTATGTAGAAAAGCGATAACATTTCTTCTAGGAGCCGTTTTTGCGGATATTGTTTTAGCGACTGTGCCGAATTATTAGTTGTACCAACGTCTTTTAGTAAGAGATAAAGTCCACGAACTTCTAAACACTGTTTTCCCTAAGACGGACTCCCGAGAAGAAGATCGGATACTTGGAACCTTAATAAGTGCTCAGGTGGTCACCGGCCAAATGATTACGGTCAATACGTAGGCTATCATAAGCCTCTGGAGCAGTCAACGGGGCTGTGGTTCTGGTTTTGAGTGCTTCATGGTGTTTGTGTTCGTTTCTAATGTGTATTTGTGGGATGTATGTAGTGCGTCCAAATACCGCGGGGACACTATTTCTTAACAAAATACAAAATATATACAGTATTTAAAAAAATTCAAGTGTCTTTCACTTTTACGTTATTTTGTGGCCGCCAATTTAGAGCAGAGTGAAAAGGCGTAGTAAGCCTCCAAACCTTTGTTTAATAAATAGCTAAGGTGTAAAGCATTTATTTTTTTAAACGGCTGTAGTTTTTCAAACGAAAATCTGTGGCTTTTCAATTGGAAAGCTACAGGAAAAGCATATAGGAGGCGACAGAAAATCTTGACTTTTCTATTAAAAAGTGAGCCAATATTAAAAAGAAAGTAAAGAGAAAAGCTAGAGAAAGTCAGATGAAAAGCCGTTGACATTTTATATCTTCTCATGAGTTTTTCAACAGCCTTTCAACAGAAAAGCACCACAGTTTTTCGTGAAGACCCAGCCTTTAGAATAACGCCCTAACTTTGACAACAGAATAAACTTGCCTTAGCTTTTAATTCTAGACAATGGCAGTCGCCAAAATAATTCGAGAAATATGAGCGTTCATATCCCCTCAACTCTGAGCCAGAACCACGGTGGAAGAAACACATTTAGGTGATGACTCTGGCCGCTCTTCCCATGGGGAGCGAGCGACCAGATCGTGTTCGGAGCTAGCCTCGAACCAGGAGTAGTTACTCCCGCACCGCCGCGGAGGGCGCTGCGGTATGAGGTCCCTCCTCGGCGGCCATGGTGTGGCGGCGTAGCGTGCTCGCCTTTTTCGCGGCGTGGTGGTGTGGTGGTGGTGTGCGGACGATGGCTGGGGTCGTGTTTTGCTTTGGTGCTGTGTCGATCACAGGTTTCACCTTCGTGCACGAAGGTGAGCCTTAACCCGAAGAAGAAGAAGAAGAAAAAGGATGAGAACACAGATTTACGGACTTTGGCGACTTGGTGGCGGCGTAGCGGCAGTGAGGTACAACAAGAAGCGGTGAGCGAGAGAATGCAGGACCACCGCTGGAACAAACAACCGGAGCGGACGGTAATTGCAAGGGACCCGATACTTGGGCGCCGTCTATCCCCGTGCGAATGAAGCGCTCGGTGCGCCGAACATAATGTGGTCGCCGCGTCGGACAGAGAGTCATCACCTAGAACAAGCGGCCACGTGGCATGGTGCCTATCTTATGCCACCAACGTCAATCATAGCCACGCACTGGGGTCGGCAAAATAGAAAACGCGTGCTGAGCTGCAGGCATTGTTAAAGTTGGGCTACTCTCATCACCGCAGTGGTTGGAGACGAGCCCCTACCCCAGTGCACTCCGAGGCTTTGATTGTTACGAGCCGAAGTCGAGTGCTCGCGCAGTTCTCGCGTCCAATCCACGAGCCGCGCTTGACTGTCGTCAGGCGGGTAGTTTCGATCCCGCAATTACGACATCAAGCTTCGCAAAGACAAGGCTGAAAGAAATGGTCACCTTTTTATCCTCGCAATTTCACCGCGACGAAGAAGCTTCCGAATCCGTTGCGGTCTGTGCGAGCTGGGCGAGACTATATGGCCAGTACGCCTCTGTAAAGTCATGAACATCCCGATCCGATATCGTTTCATAACCCCTTCATTGTCACGCAAAAAAGAAAAAAAAAGAAGTGTATTAACAAGAGAAAAGAGGAACATAATGTGCTCATTTAAACCGCAGTCACTCTGTTCATACAT